TTTTTTTTCTTTCAGCACTTTAAATATGTCATTCCACTGCCTTCTAGCCTCTCTGGCTTTTGAAGAGAAATCATTTGTTCATTTTACTGAGGAATCTTTGTGCATGATGAGTGCTCCTCTTTTGCTATTAAGATTCTTTGTTTTTGTTTTTTGACAAATTGACTGTTATGTCTTGGTGTGGATCTCTTTAAGTTTATCCTACTTGGGTTTCATTGAGCTGCTTGGGTGTGTAGATTCGTGGCTTCGGTCAAACAGAAGTTTTCAGCTATTATTTCTTCAAGTATTTTTTTCTGCCACTTTCCTTTCCTCTTATCGTAGAACTCCCATACATAAATATTGGTGTGCTTGTTAGTGTCCCACAGGTCACTTAGGCTCTGTTAATTTTTCTTCATTCTTTGTTCTTTCTGCTCCTCAGTCTGGCTAATCTCAACTGACCTATTTTCAAGGCCACTGATTCCTTCTTCTCCCTGCTTAAATCTGATGTTGAAGCTCTCTAATGAAATGTTCACATTTGTTATTTGTACTCTCCAGCTCCAGAATTTTTATTTGAATTAAAAACAAAATAATTTCTCTTTCTTTAATGCTATTCTGTTTTCTGAGACATTATTCCCTTAGTTTCCTTTAATTCTTTGCCCATAGTTTCTTTTAGCTGTTGGGACATAATTAAGACAATTGATTTAAAGTCTTTGTCTCCTAAGTACAATGTCTGTCCTTCTTCAGGGACACTTTCTATTAATTTCTTTTTGTTTTTTTTCCTGTGAATGGGCCATACTTTCTTACATGCCTCATAATTTTGTGTTGAAAACTGGCTATCTTGAATATTATGATGTGTTAACTCAGGCATCAAATTCTCCTTCCTTGCCAGGACGTGTTGTCACTGCTCGATACAGATTGTAGTAGCTTGTTCAGTCACTTTTCTAAAGCATTTTTGTTAGGACTATATTATTTGTTGCATGTGGTCACTGAAGTCTCTAAATGCTTTGAACTGAGAGAAAAAAATCTAGTCTTTAGAACTAGACTCTGTGTGTGTATGTATGTATTGGGGTGTGCCTTCAACACTTGGCCAGGCCATTTACAGCTCTGCCTTAGCCTGCATTTCCTGCCTGCATGGAGCTTAAAGGTCAACCAGCATTGAGAGTCTTGGGCTTCCTCACATCCTTTCTCAACACATCTCCAATTCTTCATGGCCTTCTAGATCCCCCGTGGTGTATATGGGTATTCTTCAAAGCTCTTACTCTCCAAAGCATATCACTCTGAAGCCTTTCCTCCCAGGCTTACTGGTGGGATTATTGTTTGCCCCAATTTATATTCTGTACCCCATGTGGAAGCAGGTAGTCCTTTTGACTTTAAATGTTTTTTTTGTTTGGTTTGGTTTTTAACCAATGCCCTTTGCATAGCTGCTTCTCTGCCCTAAGAGAGTCCCAAGTCAAGGAAATAAAGGCCAGCTCATAGCTTCTGTCCTTCAGGGCCCCCACAGACAGGTCAAAACAGACAACTACAATCTTTGGACAGGATCCTCTCTGCTCCCTCAAGCCACATGAACCCACACCAGGGACATAGAATACCATCAAGACTGCCACCAATTTGGGGAGTAGAGAATGGGGGACAGGGTAAGTTAAAGTGCTGTAAAAACTTTGCCAGGTTTCAGTTGCTTTTTTTCTTGAATAAACATTTTCTTGGTTGCTGCAAACTTTTTGACTGTTTTTCAGAGTTTTGATAAAGTTGATTCTGGTGGTTTTTGCCAGGTTTTTCATTGCTGCTTTAGAGGAACAGGCACTTGGAATTCCCTACTTCACCATTTTTGCTGATTTCACCTAAGAAGTAGGTTTTGAATGCGTTTTGTTTGCTGACCAATGAGAAAATAGAGGACCAAATGGAGAGGGAATGAACTGAGTCAGTGTAAGACTGCCAAGATGACTCAAGATTCCTTTTATTTAGTATAATCTGCCTTCTGCACTGTTTGGTCACATGGTTCAGCAGCAACGAGTCTCTCCGTAGTTTGAAGACCACTGGGATCAGAGGGACAAAGCAGTGGTCTCCTCATGGGCCTCCCCACATGCACTGTGCCTCCGTCTGTCCGCTCATCACACAGCAGCCAGAGCAATAGTCAGTGTCATGGGGTTACATCACTCCCCTGCTTAACACCTTTCAGCCTTCCGTCCACTGATGTATCTATACAATGGAGCATTATTCAGCCACAGAAATGAATGAAATACTAACAGTTTCTACAACATACGTGAATCTTGAAAACCTTGTTCTGAGTAAAAGAAGCCAGTTGCAAAAAACCACATGTTATATGATTCCGTTTGTTTGAATTGTCCAGAATAGGCAAATTTACAAAGACAGAAAGTAGACTGGTAGCCGCTTGTGGCTGCAGGGACTTTTTTGAGGTGATGAGAATGTTCTAAATTAATCACAGTGATGGTTTCACAACTCTGTGAGTAAATCATCGAATTATATGCTTTAAATGGGCAAATTTTATCTCAATACAGCTATTAACAAAAAACTAAATAAAATCCCTCTAACTTCCCATTCTCTTGGAATGAAGCCCAAGCTCATCATGAGGCCCTACGTGGCCTGGTTCTTGCCTCTCCAGCCTCACCTGTGTCACCGCCTACTCTCTTCTCACACTCCATCCACAGCAGCTTCCTGTATACTTTCTGAATGTGCCAAGTGCCTTCCTTATTCAGGGCCTCCTTCCTGAAATTGCCTTCCCCTTGCTGTTCCCGCAGCTGACTTGTCTGAGTCCTCCATGTCTAGTCAGCCCAGGGAGACCTTTCCCAATTACCCCAACAAAAGCCGAAGCCCCCATGGTTCTCTGCTAGGCCCTGTTTGCTTCCTCCATCACGTGTATCGGATTTTGTAACCTTACATTTATTTGCGCATTCACCAGAAGAGCAAGATCTGTGTCCAGCATGTGCCTGGCATAGTACAGGCGCTTACTGAGTGTCTGCTGTGTGAATGAATGAGGAGAACCTTGTAGGATCATACCGTGATTTTCCTTAAGTCAAACCATGTGTGTTTTGACTCACATGTCAAATTAAGCATCATTGTGTCCTATTCTGTTCTTGAAGACCTCCCATGCTGGTGATTCCTTAAGTAAGTTTCATCCCTAACCTGAATTAACAGTATGGCCTTGTCCTCACTTAGCAAGTGATGCTGAGCAGGGCCTGAGCACGGCAATGGTATGGTGTCATCTCATGTTCCAAGGGCTTAACGGAGCCTCTGATAGCACAGAGAGGACTCAGAGTGTTTCCATAGCCAACAGCTCCCCGGGAACTGACAGTGTAAATGGGGAGGCAGAGCATACCTTTGAATGTTACGTACTCATATGAGTCCTACCATATTTGGTGGGGGGAGTTGGTTAGTGTGGCCTAGAGAAGCCAGGGAGGTCCTCAGGAGGCAGGACTCTGGCCTGAAAGATTTTCTTCGGTGAAGGCTAAGGAACACTCATTTTTAGATAGAGGAGCAAAGGTTGGGTAGGGCTGGGTAGAAGAAAGTTATGACTTTCTTAGTGAAGGTTTGGGTGGTCTTTGAGTGGCATGGAGACTGGCATTTTAGGCTGCTGTCACTAGGATGTAGTAATTGAGGAGCAGCAGGTAGGCCACGATAGAGAATATGGAAGTTAGACGCCAATTTTCCTGTCCCTTCCTAGCCTGATGACTGTGGCCAAATTGTTTAACCGCTCAGCGCCTCGATTTCCTCATCTGCAAAATGAGATCGCAGCTTGCACCTCGCAGGGTGGCTGTGAGAACAGAACGAGGAGATGTGCTGAGCTCAGGCTTGGCGCACAGTGGGAGGTCCGCCACGGCAGGTGACGTGAACGCCCTCCCCGTCACTCACACTGGCGTCACTCAGGCTGGCGCGCATGGCCTGTGCTGGGGAGGAGTCATGTGTCAGTACTGAGTGGAGGCCTCTGGCCTGCGCTGACTCCCGTGGCAGGCGGTGGTTTCTACGTTGGTTTTGTTTAGCCCATGTGGGCTGCGTGGGCATCAGATAAAGTCAAGAATGGAAGAGCAGGAAGAAGCAGAGATTCTTGGTATCCAGAGGTCTCACCATGCTGCCTCTTTTCCGTTTCACAGCCATATACAACTTCCAGGGAAGCGGAGCCCCGCAGCTCTCCCTGCAGGTTGGCGATGTGGTGCGGATACAGGAGACCTGTGGAGGTGAGTCACGGCCCCAGGCGAGCCTTGGACACCGGGAGCTTGGCTGATGATGCCGGGGTATCCCTTGGGCATCTACCCAGCACCTCTAGCCCTCTCTCAGAATTTTCAACTCTGTGTGTGGTTTATTTGAATACATTTTGTTAGTATCAGTATTTTGAATTTACTGAAAATAATGCTTTGCTATTGTAGGAGTTGATACCCAGAAGCAAAGGCTTGACTGGGTGGTTTGATGTTCATTTTGCTTTCTATTTTCCCAGTCACGGAGCTACTGGGGCCTGTGACACCTTCTAGGTACACTTCTTTATTAGTATCAATACCATTTTAAAGGAAAATCAACATTATTAGGGTTTTGGAGGCCCCAGTAAATTATAACCCTGATTCCAGGAGGACTTCTCTATACAACAGTGTGCTTTGGGCACAGCACCTGGTCCCGGAAGCAGTGCCCACTGCTTTCATCAAGCTGGGAGCCCTGTCTTGGGGGAAGGGGCATCCTTCTCTTTCCTCAGAGGTGCCATCTCTTGTGAAGCCAAGTGTCTGTTCAGTTGTGTCCACCATGATGGTGGTAGTGGTGGTAAGGGGTGCTTTTAAAAGTTTGCACAGGGATGGGGGGTGTAGATCAAGTGGTAGAGCACACACTTAGCACACATGAGGTCCTGGGTTCAATCCCCAGTACCTCCTCCAAAAAATAAATAAGTAAACCTAATTATCCTCCCCCCTAAAAATATTTTTTAAATAAATAAAATAAAATAAAAGTTTGCACAAAGGCTAATGGCCTTGGACTCAGGAGTCAGGCCCCTCGAAATCAATGTCACCTATGTCACTCATAAAATTGATATTGGGAGCATGGTTTGGGTGTAAGAGCCAAATGAGCTTGCTAATGTGCCAGCCACAGTCAGGTAGGCTCTCCCCACCCTCGCTGGCCCAGCTGGACCCCCACGGCTCTCCCCCTCCCTGGGCCGGCCTATAATCCTGCTGTGGGGTGAGCACAGTGTGTGTCCTTCCGGTGGCCGGGCAGAGCAAGGAGAAAGAAGAGTGCAGTGGGCTCCAATCCTGCTTCCCAGCTAATCCCTCAGGCAGGGCTCTTCTGTGCTGGGATGGGGGTGAGGGGCGGGCAGGAGGCAGGGGTGGCACTGTGAAGGAGGCCCTCTCAAGGTGAAACTGAGGTCAGAGGAAAGGAGACTGCCTGCAGAACTAGGTATCTGTGGGTTCTTACCATGTACAGGGGCACTGTGCTAGATCCCTTATACCACATTAGCCTCGTTCCTCCTCACAGCAACCTCCAGGACAGGGAGTACCTCCAGCGCTGAGTCAGCTGTGTGCAGCTTCCAAGGCAACTCTGCAGATTGGTGCGGGGGTGCACGTGCACACACACGCACGGACACACCAAGACACACACACACACACAAACACATTATGCACAGACACACATACACACAGTGCAAACCAAAGAGCAAACAAACAGAAACGTTTTTCTGGGTGGGGGAAAGGATTTGATATATTTTAAAACAGCTTTAAAGGAGTCATCATGGGGGAAACAAGAGGTTTCTTAACCTTCTGTACATTTATTTTATGCTTTAATACTATTTTGGATACCATGTACTTTTCAGTGCCCAGGCCTCTGAAGTTCCCAGTCTGGCCCTGTTAAAACCTTTTACACACAGAGGGAGTGAGAGTGGGGGAGGTGGGGGGGATCTGATTCAAAACACCCTGTCCTCTTACGGTGTAACTCTATTTTTTGCAAATCTACTTCTACTCAGTGACAAATAAGCAAACTCTAGGTGTCTACCAAGGGCAAAGAATGAAACTAAAACCAGCAACCACTACAACTCTCCTCAGTGTCTCCTACGCGCTGCTGGATGCTAATCCTGAGAAACAGGCAGAGACCTCACTTCTGCAGGTGCGGAAGCAAGGCTCAGGGAGGAGAAATGACTCACCTGGGGTCACACGGGGAGCCTGTGGCTGTTCTCCCCGCCCCCTCCACCCACCCCTAAAAGTGCTCTTTCCTCCACCCCATGCCTCCCAAGACAGTGGAAAAGCCTCCTAGTGTTTCCTGTGTCCTACATTTTGAAATTCAGATGAGTGTTTTCCTCTTCTTTCCATGCGTTTTCCCTGGAAAAAATGCTGCAGCGCGGTTAACTGACCACACAGGTTGCATGTCCTCAGAGCCTTCTCTTCCTTTTACCTGGCCTGGGGCCTGACCTTCCGAAGGGCTGCCCTTGCTGCCTCCTTTGTTTGTCTTTGGGATTAGCATTCTTGCGTCTTTGCTTCTAAGCTCTTTAGTTCTGGTTTCCCATTTGAAATTTTGTTTTATCAGGCTTATTTTAATGTATCCTTGTAATAGGCAGCCAGAATACTTTTCTGGGAAAAGCTGGTTGTATTAATTTAGCAAGTGATTGCCAATTCATGAATACTTTGAAAATACAATATTTGGAAGTTTGTTAGACTGATTCGAGATGTCTGAAGAATTGCTATGCAAATTATTATGATCCATCATGCATGCACTCATATCCAGACAGAGCTTTCAAACTGAAATTTATAGGATTCCAAGTGTCCCTGAGGATCTTGGGCAGCTAAGGACTCTGAGATCAGGCCTGGTCTTGTCTACTTTGCAGGTGGGGAGTCCTGCTTATGACTCTCATTGAAAAAGAGTTCCTCTGCACATATAGAAAAAGTGCACACCGCGGTGTTAGTAAAAAAATTAGTCAAAATGATGTCGAAGAAAAAATTAGGTTCCCATGAAACCCTCTTGTAGAAACCTACTTGAAAAATAAAATCCAGCCAATTGAGAGATGAGTCAAAATTGTAAAATGTAGGAATTGATAAGCTGTGATAAAAGGAAATACCGATGAGCATTGAGTCCAAATGAACCGATTTATCAAAATTAGTATTAAAAGTAACATTTATGACTACAAAAAAGAATGTCATTGTTAGAAAACTGGAAAATGTATTTTTAAAAAAACTAATGAAACTGAGAAGTGGAAGGGGGAATGGAAGAGAATAGATATAGTCTTGAAAATTTAAAGGATTGATTAATTCTAGGTGGTAGGAATGTGAATAATTATTCTTTATTTTAAAAGTTTAAAATCTCCCCTCTCCACAAAAAAAAAAAGGTGGGGAGAGAGAAAGAAAAAGAAAGAAGACGAAATGGAAAAAGTGTGGGCTTTTGAATCAGGAGGTTATTCTCTGTTCCATTTACCCACTAGCTGAGTGATCTTGGGGAGGTAGGCCTCAGTTTTCTCACCTGTGAAATGGGTTATTATCACTTTGCTTCTAGACTTGTTATAGGGATAAAATGAGAGAACCATCCCTGGCTCCTAGGTGCTCTGTGTTGGTGACTTCCACCCCTCCCCCCATTTACAAAGCTACATTGAGATTGGCAGGTCTGTATGTTACCAGTATGGCCCAGGGAGCCGGGAAGCTGGCCCTCTGATTGCCTGGAGTGGGTGAGGCTAGCCCTTCTTTACCTGTGTATGAAATTGACTCACCCACATGAACAGAGAAAACAAAAATCTGACCTGGAACCTTAGGTATGAATGAATTTCATTTCACTAGAGTTCGAACATTTTTATGAACTTTTTATTAGGAAAATATATCTTGTGATTAAAAACTCAAACAGTTCGGAAGGAGGACCATTGCTAAGCCAGGGACATCCTAGTGCTTATTCCTTTGTCCATCTTACAACTCTCAGGCTGCCTGTTCTACCCAGAGGCAGCAAAAACATTGTGTATCCTGATTTTAGATGTGGAAAACACACATGAGTGTTTATGGAGCAGTTAGAGCTCCTCATGGGGGAATAAACATAAAAAAGAATGTTATTTTTCTCCAGCCACTTCCTTCAGTTGTATTTGGTTGACATCTTTCCTGCTATTTAACAGCATCTCAAAAGAAGACTTCAAGCCCATATCCAGTTTAATGCTCCCCTCCTCCTTCCCTTTCTCCAGCTTAACCAAGGCTGAGGGTAGAGAGAGTTTGGGGTGCTCTTTTTCTGATTTTCTACTTTTCTAATCAAATAAGCCCAAAGGTCAGCCAGTCCCCAGCGCGAATAGCCACGTAGCTGGGGAACGGGATACCAGATGCTCCAGTATCTGCGTGAATCTCCTGGAGTGCTCCCCAACACTTGGATTTGGTTTGTGGGGTGAGAGAGCTCTACCAGGCACCCCTAAGGCAACAGCAGCCACCTCCAGATACCACCCCCACCTCCTGATTACTTGAACTCTGGTGGGGGGAGTCATCCTGGGGGGCAGCCCAGCTTGTTTGGCCTCTGCCCTGTAAGCCCTCCAGAGGGAATGTCTGCTCCACTCTGTTATTTGCGGCCCGGATCTTCCTTTCTGGAACAGCAGGGGAAGTCCCATTCCACCTACTGATACACGCACTTGTCCGGGTCACGGGGACCCACTCTTAGTGGCGAAGAGAATGGGATTTCCCGGCAGTGGTTCCCAAGGATCTTCTGAATTTCACTCACCAGCAAAATGGAACAAGGGGAAGGGATGTGGGAGGAGACTGAAGTAGCGTCACCTCCTTAAGGTACCGCACAGCTTTTGCTGTCATTGTTCTCTAGAGATGGGCCTGCACTGTGCAGACCATTCTGAGACGGTCTTCTCACTTACAAATATCTGGAGTTCCTTCTAAGCAGGCATGTGGGCGTCACTTCACTCTTGGTTCAGCCGCAAAGAGCTCTGCGTAAAGACTTTTGACTCTCCCACTTGCAGAGTAGGGCACACCCAGATCCGTGCAGCAGCTTCAGGGGTCATGAAGGTCAGTGACCCAGCTGGGTTGGGGATGTCATGTCAAGAAAACTCCAAAGGCCAGCTCTGATGCAGCTGATGTATTATCCTCATCTAGCAAGGGGAGCTGGCGGTGAGCCCTTCTCCCCAAGGATCACTGGGGATTTATTCCTGAAAGCACCTAGCCCAGTGTCATGTACACAGCAGGTACACAATCAGTGTTGTTGAACTTAAATCTGGGAGCCGGAATGTGCGTGCTGGGGGTAACCGTCAGGAGATTTCTGGCTCAGGAGTGAGTCAAAGTTCTGAGAATCAGGGTACCTACGAGGGTAACAGATAACTGATTCTCAAGGGTGAGAGAGGGCAAAGCTGCTGGAAGAGGCAGTCAAGGGGCCCTGATGGAGCCCCTGTTGTGGAGAGACATACGTGGGCAGACTGCTGGTCTTGACTGTGTTCCTGCTTTCTGGTGGATTTTGGTGACCTTGGCCGTCAAGGTGGATTCAGATTGCTGCAACCAAGAGATCCTTATCTGTATTTGTACTCTAAGAGAGCGTTATCTGTATTTGTGCTCATCGCATGAGGGACAGTGTGGTGGAACAGCTTTGAGGGATGGCTTTGAACCCATACAGACTTGCCCTTGAACCCAGGGCTGTGTGATTCGGTCACTACCTCAAATGACTTGAATCTCAATTTCTTTATCTACAGAGTGGGAATACTACTACTTAGTTCACAGAACGGATATGAGGACTAAATGAGAGAATGCATGTATAACACTTGGCACACAGCTGTGCATTCATTAAGCAATCAATAAATGGTAACTAGTAATATTACAGAGACACTCATGTCTAGTTGGTTGAATGAGGAAGAACTGCAAACAAATGAGGTTGTTACAGTGCAGTGCTATAAAGTGTCATCTCTGGAATCACATGCTTGGGTTTAAATCTTAAGTTGCATCACCCAGTAGCTGTGTGACCATGAGCAAGTTGCTTAACTTCTCTGTGCCTCTCTATTTTCATTTGTGGAATTGAGGCATTAGCAGTACCGACTTCATAGGATTATTGTGAAGATTCATTTATAATTTAAAAAAAAACGAAGCAAAAAACTTTTACCAGACTTCCTGGCACACAGCAAGCCCTGTCCTTAATATAAGTGCTACTGTTAATGGTTAGTTATTACCAATCGCTATGGGAAAACTATAAAGGAGTGTGAAAATAGAATGTGGTGCTTTATGAAGCAGAAAGTTCTCCATCACTGGAAGTATGTAGAGGAAAGTAGCTTAGTGGGGATGTAGTTTTGGAGATTCAGATGTTGGGAGGATGGAAATATTAGGCAACCACCATGCTCCTTCCTCCATTAGACAGGAAGTGTGGTATGATGGCTACATATGTTCAAATCCTGGCACTGTCAAGGATTACTAGCTGTGTGACTGTGGGCAAGTTACTTAACTCCTCTGTGCCTCAGGCAGGCCGCTTTTCTGTTAAATGCGATAATTGCATTTCCCGCATCACGTGGTTGTTACGAAGATTAGAAGACTTCCTATATGAAGAGTGCTTTATTCGAAACCTGAGATTCTTTCTCTCTGACCTCCATTCCTTTCTTTCTCTCTCCTCTTCTCCTTCCTTTACCTTTCTGTTTCTCAAATTAGGAACCACTTTGGGCCTTTATTGCTCTGGAACTTTCTTTAGGACCTGACCCTCAAGCTGGCTCATGACTGTGAGGGGTGACTTTGCATTTTAAGTTGTTTGTTTTGCAGCTCGCACGTATGTCTGTTGAGAACATATTTCGACAACAGTCTGTCAGCCCAGTAATGAGGGTTTGCTAATGAGGCTCCCGACAGACGCTTTTTATTTACAAAGATGACAAATGCCACTACTTGGCTATGCTTGAATCATTTCAAAGGCCAGTAGGCTCATTATAGTCATCAATACTTGCTATGCTGAGGCTCATTTTGTCCAAGGACTGTGTATAATTTGAATTTCTGTTAATTGAATCATTTTTGATACTCCTGCAAGGGGAGGAATCTTTTAAAACCCTGTCCTTTTACCCATCCCTGAACTTGTCTGTTTTGTAGTGACTAACTTCTGCAAATCACATTTTAGACAAAATTTGCTGCTGTTTGAACTGTGGTCATTATTTTAGGATATTTGCCAAACTCCCACAGACATTCTCAGCCTTTCTGTGTCTTTAAGGCAGAGGCTGAAAACATGCATATGAACACAGGAATTACCCAGGCAGGGAATGGAAATAAGTGAAGGGCTGGATAGTGGCTGGAGAGTTGGCCGCACTTGCTTTGTCTGATGGGACCAGCTGCTCCTCAGCACTAGTCAGCTGTGGCCGCAGGGGAGCATTGGCCACCATCTCTGGGCCTCTTGTTTTTTCAAAAGGAGGATGACATTTGTATTTTTATGTGAAATCCCTGTATTTTTGGATGCGCTTTGGAGATGTTAGCAACTAATTTGACAGGTTGTTGAAGCCCAGGGCTTTGATCTAGCCCTAAGGTCTAAAGCACTTTGCAGTGGTTTCTTTGCTAGTGAAAAACAAACAGAACAAGGACCACCAAACCCAGCAATAAGCTTGTAAGAATAGATGAAAGACCTGTTTCTTGATTTTCTCTTTGCAGACTGGTACAGAGGATACCTCGTAAAGCACAAAATGTTACAGGTAAGGTCGATGTGCTTTCATTTGGGACAGTTCTGGGTGTCTGTACATGACCCTGCCAGCCCTCTGGGGTTGCTTCTCTGCAGACTGATTCCAGTCCTCCCTCCTTGTGTCCTGGGCTTTCCTTGCTGTGCCTCAGCTCCCTTCCCCTTTCACTCATCCTTCAAGGCCCACCTCCAGAGCTCTCTTCTCCCTCAAACTTTTCCTAATATGCCAGTCACATAGGATTCCGGGAGTCCCCTGAAACTGTGCATTTTTTATTTGAAATTTATCTTCTACTGCCTTTCTTTAGCGTTGCTTGAGCATTCATCATTGCCTCACCTATGTGTCCCATAGACACAGAAAGGGCAGGTCCAGTCTCCGCCCTCGGGGAGTCTCCCTGCTCCAGCCCCGCACCGCACCGCACTGACGTGTCCACGGAAGCAGGCATCTCCTTTGCTTGCCTCCCTGTAGCTCACAGTGTCCAGTGCGGGGACTGGGTTACCCGGTGTACACAGTGGCTGAATTTATGAAGGAAATTCCGAGTAATTGATCTGCTTTCCTTGTTAACTGGCAAGCTTATGAAGCAAGGAAATAAGAGGTGCTTCTTCCTTACTCCCTGACACGCTGTATTGGGTGGCATGATCCCTCTCTTCTCTCTAAAGGACAGTAAAATAAATCCAGGGAGATGGGGGAGGGTACAGCTCAGTAGCAGAGTGTGTGCCTAGCATGCACAAGGTCCTGGGTTCAATCCCCAGTACCTCCACTAAAAATAAATAACCATAATTACCCCCCCTTGCCAAAAATGTGAACCTGTGAAGAAAAAGAAAAAAGTCCAGGGAGAAAGAGATCTCAAATCGAACTAGCCCACATGCAACCAGGGACCCTGTTGCATCGGGACCTGACCCTCCCGTGACTGGGAAGGGTGGCTACTCTCCCAGAACTGGGCAGGAGAGCGGAGAGACAGAGCGCCTCATCTCACATAGAGTGAGTCTTTCAAGCCTTGTGCGCACGATCAGGTGAGTGTCCGCAGTGGGGTTGGAGCATTGTTTCGACTCTAGGGCTGTTGTGGGAGCTGGAACAATTGATAAAGAACAGGAAAGAAAGCAGACCTAAAAGAGCAGATTTAGCATCCACCACCTGCTCTGTCGGACTAGGGTTATTCCTGTAGTCGCTTTTGGAAAATCATGAAGACCTGGGGTCAGTTTTTTCTATAGGGACAAGTCATCCTATCTTATCTCACCGTATCTTATCCCCAACAGGGCATTTTTCCTAGATCGTTTATCCACATCAAAGAAGTGACAGTGGAGAAAAAAAGGTATTTGACATTCTTCCCCAGACTTGACCCTGCAGTAGCCCATGGAGGGGTCACTGTCCTGTCTACTTGGAAAGCTTAACTTGGCAGATATGAAGGATGCTCAGCTGATCCGTCTTCTTCATGCCCGTGTTTATTCGGCCTCTTCCTCACTGAATGGGAGATCTAATACCAATTGATTCGTATTCAGATCTGATTCTGAAGGGGATATTAGTAAATTTGGAGAATCAAACTTTTCACTGGCAGCTGCTTTTGAACTGTATTAAAGCAGATTAATCCTGAATGATGAGCTTGAAGGGCCCACTCCAACAAAGGAGAACATTAAAAAGGAGGTCCCTTACATTTGCATAATGTAATTGGTGTGGCTATTAGAGGACGTTTAGTCTCCTGCCAGCAAGGCTCCTCTCAGCAGCTGCAGCTTAATGCAAATTTGCCAACATTTTATCTTGTTAGCACCTGGGTCTCAATTTCACAACATTTTCTCTCCCACCTCAAATAGAAATATCGAGAACATTATTCCTGCAGAAATCCCTCTGGCACAAGAAGTGACCACGACACTCTGGGAATGGGGCAGCATTTGGAAACAGCTCTATGTGGTGAGACTCAAAACCCCGCCCCCTGGGATGGATGCTTCTTGCAGTTTTTGGTTTGGTTCAAATTCGGAATTTAGCCTTGACATAGTATAGCAAACGGTCTGAGGACATCGACGCCCAGAGAAGTTAGTTGACTTTCTTCAGGCCACACAGTGAGCTAGTGACAAAGCCATAGTAAATCTTGTGATCCTTCTGTTTTTTCAAACTAGTAAGAAAAGTCATCAAACTTGCCTACGTTTAAGAATCACCTTGAGAGCTATTAAAAATAAGGCCTCCTGCAGTGGGACTCTGCATTTTAATAAACTCAGGGATTTTGATTTGGTGGTCTGCTGATAACACCTTGAGAAATACTGTTCTCATATATTAATTAACTAATGACTATTGTCCTCAGATCTATGATGGAGCTTTGACCCTGGAAAAGCAAAGAGCATGTTTTGTATGTGTTTTCTCTTGTGTTGAAGTAAATCTAATTTTAAATCCTCCTTTGATGCTTCTAAAACTCCTAATGAAAGCAGATAGCTGAGAAAATCATTAAACAGAGAACGAAATGTCAACCACGGCTTACTGCATTGTTACAGCTTCACGCACACCTGCTGGTGCACACGTGTTATTTGCACGCTCACCTATTACATTCATAAATGTTGACTCCCATGCGGGTATTTCATAATATGTGGTAATGAGCACTTTCTGTAAGTTTCCCAAAAGTTGTTAGGAAAGTGTAGGGGGCAAACAGTAGACTTGAGGCTAAAGTGATTTATTTTTTATCTCCACTACCCCTTTAAAACATCACATACGCATGCACCATGGAAGCTTGGCATTTTCCTTAAGAAATCTTTGAATTGCAACTTCATCATGTCCTTTACCCTAAAAAAGAGATTCTTAAACTTCCATCTTCATGACTCTTGCCATATCCGCATACCACCCCTGTAATGTTTACTTAATTCCTAACTTGTCTCCCTTTTTAGTAAATATAGATGATTCACAGAAGGAACTTTATAGCATGCTGTGTCATTCCAATAGGTCTCTGATTCTCCAATACCGACTGGATTCCCTATAATTCAATTCAGTTCTAACACTGACTACCCAGAGTTTAAGAGCTCAGTTCCACAAGACTGTCCTCACTTCAGACGCCAGTTGCCAGTCCTGGGTCCCCAGACTACTCACACTTCTGTCCAGCTTGGTACAAATTCAGGAACTCCCATGATCCCACCACCTCCTTACCCAGCCCCTCCCTCCTCTCCCCCATCACCTCATTTTCCATGGGTTTTTAGAACAGCTCACAAAACTCAAGAAAGCACTACTCTTACAATTACAGTTTTATTATAAAGGATACAACTCAGAAACAGCCAAATGGAAGAGAGACACAGGAGAAAGTACTGGAGTCGGGATGGACACAGAGCTTCCATGTTTTCGCCAGGGCGTACCACCCTCCCAGCGCATCAGTGTGTTTACCTTCTCGGAAGCTACTTGAAACTTGTTCAGGGGTTTTTGTCCAAGTTTCATTACATCGGCATGATTGAACTCAATCACCAACAGCCGATGACTTAATCACCTGGCAGGCCCTCTAACCTCCTGGGAAGTTGGGGGTGAGGCTGAAAGTTCCAACCCTCTAACCCCATGGTTGGTTCCTCTGGCAGCCAGTCCGCATCCTGAAGCTATCTAGGATGCCTACCAGGAGTCAGCTCATCATCTCAGGACCAGTCTGACAGGGCTCATTATGCAAAAGAGAAGACACACCTATTACTTAGGAAGTTCCAAGAGGTTTAGGAGTTCTGCGCCAAGAACTGGAAACAGGGACTATCTGTGTTTTATTACTACACACGTTTCCCAAATGGAAAGCCAAAAGTACTCAGCACAGTTAGAGGAACATTATTTGAATAAATACAATGAAAACAAAACGATGTTAAGGGCTGGCTGTAGTACCTGTCAAAAGCTCTGAACCGAAGGACTCTTTTCTCTTTCTGTTAAAAAAAAAAGAAATTAACAAATGTCAGACTGGGGTTAAAAACTTATTGCCATGAAACTGCAACTTTCTCCTCTCCTTAAACAGAAGGATGGGAGGAGAGTTGAGGAGAATCACCATGTGAGTCCCTGATAGTTGGCCTTGTGTCTTTGTACCACCGAACACCATCTCGTGGCCCACAGGTTGTACACTTATCACACCTAGGGGAACACTGCCCTTGAAACCCTTTTGCACTAGAGAAATGGTCCTGGTTCTTAACCTTAAAGGCTAACACGTTCACGGCATTCCTGCTCAATGTGTATCTTTTTAGATAAGAATCAGAAATAATCCTTTTTTTTTCTTAAACCAGGAAGTGATTGGGATTATTGCTTTTACTTTTGAGAAACCCCTATGGCCCTGGGGTAGGAAACATGTCAACGACTAAGACCATCACCCAGTCCCTTCACAGCTGGGAAGGGACCAGCAGAGGCGCTCAAGCCATGACCCCTCAACATGCTCACTTCACTTTGGCCCAGTTTGCCAAACAGATGCCCAAGACCTTCGGTGCGATGTCCTGTCTCCTAGGCCAGCAAAAAGGAGCGGTTCCTGCAGGTGCAGTCCATGATGTACGACTTGATGGAGTGGCGGTCCCAGCTCCTCTCCGGAACTTTGCCGAAGGACGAGCTGAAGGAACTGAAGCAGAAAGTCACGTCCAAAATTGACTATGGCAACAAGTAAGCTCTCTTTCCTTCCTCCAAAGAGATGTTTTCTTTCCCTACCCCTCCCCTTCCTTCTGTTTCTCCCTCCAAGGAGCTGGGTTTCATTTTTAGATGCGTGTTTGCCACTTGCTATGTGGGGGAAGGCTGTTACCAACGGCTGCTCTTGTGTGCCTTTGTAACCGCCCCCGGGAGACCCAGGGACATGCACGTGGAGAGAGGCTTGCTTATGCAGTGGTTATTAGCAGGCTAGAGATTTAGGACACTCATTTAACCTACTTCCAAGGGGCTGGGAGCGCAGTCATGCTGGTTCACTTTCGGCTTAGTTGTCATTTTATTCCTGCATTTACAAAACTCTCCGTTAAATCCCAGTGTGAGACTTGGTGTCCCTTCCCCCCACCCTAAATTATCTAAGCCATGTGCCATCAGCCAACTCGTATGCACAGTTACAGAAGCGTTTCCTCAAAAGGGAAAAAGCAGAAATTGGTTGGCGTTTGAAGGCCGTGAAGTTAAGGACAGTGTAAAACAATTTTTTTTTGAGGCAGGACAATGAGCTAATAATAGTAATAGTGATAAGAATATTTTAACTAACACCTAATCCGAGCTTATCATGCACTTATCAGTCTTAAGCTAAATGTTTTACATCCATTGTCACATTTAATCTTATAATAACTCAATGAGGCATGTAGTTTTTAGTATCCTCATCTTTTCAGATGAAGAAACTGAGGCTCCTAAAGTGACATGTCCAGCGTCACCCAGCTAGTAGGGCAGAACCAGAATTTAGACCCAGTTTCGACCCTGGCTCCAGAATCCTTGAGCCTCACCATTACATTACTTGGGTAGCATTTGAGAACTGTAAAGGCCTCCCTCCCTCTTGATTATGTCAGTGCCCTCCATAACATCCTACTCATTTGTTTATCCCAGCCGCAAATATGTATCAAGTACCTGTGATTGGTCTGATTTCCTTCTAGGCTTTTTGAGGCTACAGAAATAAAATTTCCTGTACACTAAGGGACCACAGTCCAGTTAAGAGTGAGCTACAAATAAACTACTGATGTATATACTGTGGTAACTTCGATGGCTCAGGAAACAAGAGTGTTCTTAATTCAATTCGGAGAAGGAAATCAAGGAAGGCTTTCTGGAGGAGGTGACCAGGGCTGACTTTTGAAAGATAAAGAAGTGCTAAGTAGGCTTCAAAAAGAAAAAGTAAGAGAGGGAAGGAGTACTTGAGAGAGCATGACATGTTCAGAAGACTTCAGAGTGGGTCAGAAGGCCGGAACATAGAGCCTGAGGGGGGAAGTAGAAAGAACCTGCTCAGTGGGAATAAAAAAAGAAATTTCCCTAGCAGCCAGGCCTCCTTGCCCTTGTCACATGCACTAGGAAGATGATCCAAGGGGGAAAGTCAGTGGGTCCAGCTTACAGCTGCTTCCCATCCCAGAACACAGTCCCTCTGCTGGCTTCCCTGCTGGCCGCTGGCAAGTGAGTTACCCCAAAGTGACAGGAAGGATTTGCTCTGCAGCTGCTGCCACCACTGGTCCATGGCATCTTTAGCTGAGCGTGGTCACAGCGGGGATGTGGGAATTGAGGGAGTTTTGCTGCTTTGCAATATTGGTATCTGTGACCTTCACATGTTTCCTCATGGGAGTTTCTGAGAATAAGGACCAAGGATGGACAAATGGTCGCCACTGTTAGGAAGACTTCCCGGATTTTCCCCCACCCACCCTTGGCTGGGTTAGGCACCCCGGCGGGCCCCTGGCACCTTGAGCAGTAATCACCTCCTTACTGACCTGTCTCCCGTGCTGTGCTGGGATTTCCTCTGTGATAGTGACGGTCTGACTCATTTCTGTGCGCTGGAAACAGGATCCGCACGCTGTAGGCGCCAGTGGATGGTAAATGAATGAGTGGACGAATGGCGGTGAAGGGAGGAAGAGGGTCCTCCCTAAGTCATCCTCTCCTCTGCAGCATTGCCCCCACCAGCCTGTGCTTTCAGTTTCAGTCAGTTGCCTTTGGGGAAGTGAGAGACACCCTTGGAGGCTGAGGCCCTGAGCTAAGGGGCCCCTTTCTTCTGGCCGCAGTTCCCTGACGACTTCAGCTGGATGTGAGAGAGACTTAGGCACCTTCAGTTAATACTGGCCTGCTGTGTTGGGGACTCAGAGCTCTGATGTGGGGCGGGTTCTCCCTGAAAGCCAGGAGGCCAGACTGCTGGTCAGACTGTCAGGAATAGCATGAGGAACATAAACTTCAGGCTGTGAGAATCAAGGAAGCACGACTCGGAACTGAGTCTTGGAGGATTGATCAGAATCAGTCTGTTTCTTCCCTCATTCACTCCATTCCTTAATTCAGACGTCAGACTTTTGTTGAGCACCTAGTAGGTTCTCAAAACACAGACGTTTATAAAACACAGACTTTGTGTTAACAACAACAACAAAAAGCAAGCAATGAGCACTAATAATAACTTACAGAGTACTTACTATCTGCCAGGTACTGTTTTAAGTGCTTTCCGTGTATTAACTCAGTTAAGTCTCATGACAACTCTGTGAGGCAGGTACTATCATCCCTATTTCTTAGATGAGGAAACTGAGGGCTGAGTAGGTCATTGTACCCACGATGCACTGGAATTTGAAGCAGGTGGCTTGGCTCCAGAGGTCAAGAGCTTAACCACTGCATTCTACTGCCTCCCGAGGAAGATGTAGACTAGTAAGAGAAAGGGAGAAGTAAGCAGACACTTGAGTGGGAAGTCATGCAGTTCACGAGAGGAGGAAGCAGGAACGAGAGAGTGGGAGGAGGCAGGGCAGGGGGTGACACCTCCCTGAATCAAACCAGACCAGCAAGAATTACAAAGTGAAGCAATTCAGAGAAAGAGAGAGAGAGAAACTGAGAGGAGCTGAGGGATAAACATGAAGATGGAGGGAAAGGTAGACAGGGGCTGGAATGCTGAGGGCCTGAGTGCCAGGTGGAGAAGTTCACATTTGTCCAGTGGGTGATGGGGAGCCACAGAAAAAAAAAACCCAAACCTTTCTGTTTTCTTCACCTTAAAGCAATTTTGGTGAGGTGGGTGGGGGGAAGAGTGGAAAATGCATACAGCAGGGGTTTTCTCCACTGCCCTTATCTTGGGTTCATTTTTATCACTTTCTTGAACAGAGGAGAGCAATGGGGGGTACCCCCTGAGGAAAAACTGTCAGAATGCTCAGTTCTCCAAAATGAATGCTCTGCTGTCCCTTGGGAGACAGCCCTCCCCTGACCCTCGGTCGTGGGAATCCCGTCAGTCCTGCCCCTTGACTACTGAAGCTTCCAAGTTTCAAGTGAGACTGGCAATGGACAAGCTCTCTGGTGTCCGAGGAGCGAGGAATCCTCAAATGATTCCTTCAATTCCCAAGATAGCTGGACCCAGGAGAATGTTTTATTCATACATTTTAGAACCGAATCCACTTTGATAAATTTTGAAGAGAAAGCGCTAGAGAGATCTCGGCATTAAATTATGTATCAGCCATGCTCCATCTTTTCCCAGGTCGAGGGAGCCTCTGCTCAGCATCCGTTGAATGCATTTATTCCCGCTTAGCATCGGCCGTTCAGCAGCATGGCTGTGCACCATTATGAGTCATACCTAGTTGGAAGTTAATTTCCTAATGAATGTGGACAAACGGGGGAACCTTGGCTCCCTTCTGTTTGCATTTGGATGAGACGAGCGATGTGCCTCTCAATCCGATTCTCAAATAAGAGAGAAAAATGTGGTTGCCTTCTCTAATCCTCGCTGCCCTTTGAGTCTGGTAGTTCGTAGAAGTGCCCAAGCAGGACCACCGTTGGCTTTCTCAGAGTCTCCATCAGCCCACCTCCCCCTGCCTTCCTTGTTTGGACAACTGACGTCCTCTGTGTCAACGTCAAGTGCAAAAGCTGCTTCCAGTTAGGACATAACCCCT